TAAATAAATAAATAAATAAATAAATAAATAAATAAATAAAGCTTGAGGATAGACCATGAAACTGGTCGCTCCATAATACCACTTTTTGCTCCCTGCTGAGCTCTGGGAGGGGGGCACATCTTCCCTCTTACCCCTTAGTCCACTGTCTATCCATTATCGTTCCAGCTGTGTTCAGATTTGTTCTTCAAGTTTTGGGGGCTGGAGAGATGGCTCAGTGGATAAAGTACTTGCCCCACAAGCCTGAGGACCAGAGTTCAGATCCCTAGAACCCACATTAATGCCCAAAGCACATGGAAGCCCACCTGTAACTCCACACTTGGAAGGCGAAAACGGGATCAGTGGAACAAGTTGGCCAACTAGCCTAGTTTCGTGAGTGAGCTTGGAGAGGATCCCTAGCATCAACCTTGAACCTCCACATGCTTGCTCACCCATGTGTGTGCACATGCACTCAAGCACTCAAACACAAAATAAAATACCAGTGTTCTGGCCTTGGCCCTGCTCACAGGCCTTTACTGTTGAAGATGGTGCAGGATGAGGGTAGGGGGAATCTGGCCTGTGCTGCTCCTGCTGGTTGGTGATTGGAGTTCCATGGCAATGTGCTTAGGCTATAGGGGGATCAGTGAGACTGCTCCCTTACCTTTTATGTCCTTCTCATCATCCTAGGGGAACACCTGTGCGTCTGTGCAATAGGAATAATGACCTTTCTCTCCCACCTCCCTGAGCATACAGTATGACAAGACTGTAAATGCTCAAGGACCAGACAGTTTTGATGAGCTACCAAGTAAAACTCCCCATGACTAATCTGTTAAATTCTTTCCCAGACTTGAAACCAAAACTAAGGATCATCTCTGGGGCAGTCTGACCAGGTTACTTTGCTAGTTAAACAGAAAATGAATGTAAAGTGTGTATAATGCTGGATACAGTGTTAGCATTCTAACACCTCAGTGGTTGTTGCTGTTACTTAATGTGATTATTTTAAATTATTTTTGATCTTGGTCTTGGGTTTAGCCAATCCTGTTTGGTGCCACAGATCCTGAAGAGTTGATGTTCTCCCTCTGAGTTCATTCCTGATGCTACTATAAAGCATCACATGCTAGGTGGTTTATAAACACTGTCTGTTATTCTCAGTTCTGGAGTTGGAGAACTGAAGATCAAGGCACCAGCAGATGTGCTGTCTGGTGAGGATCCAGGCCTCTATGCTATCTTTACATAGCAGCTGGGGCAAGGTATTAAGACTCTTTCATGAGGGCACTAATCCTATTTGTAGGGCTGACGGTTACTCTCATGATAAAACATCTCCTAATGATACCACCACTACCTCCTAACAGACCTTCCTCTAAGTACTGTCACAGCGGGCACAAATATTTGAATGCTTGGTCCCCATTGGGTGGTACTGTTTGGGGAGGTCAAAGAATCTTCAGGAGCTATGGCTTTGCTAGAGGAAGCGTGTCACTGGGGGTGCGCTTGGAGAGTTCATAGCCTTGTCCACTTCCAGTTCACGCTCTCTTCTTATTTGTCCTTGAAGATGTGAGCTCTCAGCTTCCTGCCCCCCCCCACCCCCGTATGCCTGCCACTTGCCTCCCCCACAGTGATGGACTCTTATCCCTCTGGAACTATAAGCCAAAATAAACTCTTCCTTCTGTAAGTTGCTTCTGGTTATAGCAGTTTATTGTAGCAACAGAAAAGTAACTACTACGCTCTCCCATCCTAGTTATCAAAGGTAACAGTGTTCTAGATATTGGTCTCTCCATGAATGCCCCATTTCTGTCCTAGGGCCCCAGCTGGTTCCTGCAAAGCATCCCCACATGTCCTCCATCACCTCTGGTTTGTGACAGTTGCTCAGTCTTCACCAGCTGTTTGTGACTTGATATATTGCAGTGTCTCTCAACCTGAGCAACTCTTTTTCCTCCTGATTATTCTGGAGCTGTGGGATTCACAGCTTTGGGATTTTTTTTTTTCTTTTTCTTCCTGCTTTCATCTAAGTGTCTTGAGGGGACACTGTAAGAAAAACCGATTCAGTGAACAAGGAAGGAAGCTTCAGAGATGGAAACCCTTGGAAATAAAAGGGGAAAATAATTAAAATTAATCCTTGGGGCCGGCTTGAATTCTTGGGACCCACGTGGTAGAAAGAGAGAATGTACTCCTGTGAGTTGGCCTCTGACCTCCACATCCATACTGTAGCAAGGGTGCTTACGTACACATGTGTGCACATGTACACACACACACGCACACACACACACACTGTTAAAAATGTATTTTTAAGGACTGGTGAGATGGCTCAGTGGTATAGAGCACAGGGTGTTTTTGTAGAGGACCCAAGTTCAGTTCCTAGCAACCACATGGCAGCTAACAACCTCTTTTCGCCTCTGTGAACACAAGTGCACTTGCATACATGCAGGCAAAACACTCATGAACATATTTTTAAATTAATTCCACCAATTGTACCCCTCCTGTCCTGTTTCAATGAGAAATAGTCATTCCTAATTAAATGGTGATTATGCGAGCTGAGTCTTTTGTGTTGGGTGGAAGCGTCATCCATTTTTATGGGGTCTAGTTATAATTGGATGTATATCTTTAGTGATCGATTTTTTTCAATCCAAAAGTTATGGTATCAGTCATATCAAGTGCATTATCCCCCCAGTGAATTAATTTGAATTATTGACTTTTTCTTTTTTGGATCAGTTGCCTTCTAATCACTGTGGAGAATGTGTGCTGCTCTGTCTTGACATTCCTGCCTTTCCTTCTTTCCTGGTCTCCTGGGGTTTTGAGGCAGATCTGTGGCATTCAGAGCCTCTTAGAGCTGCCTTTCACAGGCCCTGGAAGGATTGAGGGCCTCCTTGATAACATTGCTCCCCCCACAGTCCCTGGAAAGATCCAGGAGTTCCTCAATAATATCCCCTACAGGCCCTGGAAGGATTGAGGGGCTATTTGCTTACAAATTTGAAGTTAGATTTCTACACTTTCTCTTTTCAGTTGTCTGCCCATACTGTGAGCTTCTCCCTGCATCCAAGTCTAGAACACTCCTCAGGAGTACAGACGTTTGTCTGCTGTCTTCTTCAATGTGCTACCCCTGTGGTGTGTACAATGCGGGGTGCAGGGCTCAGCAGAAACAGCTGTGAGCCAGATGGCGGCTTTCAGTCCAGCAGGTTACTTACCATCTCCACCTGGGGCCAGTCACTTACCTCTCTGGGCCTCAGAGGACGGCAAGTGGAATTGTGATGGGAACCGAGTGAGTTCATGTGAGGGCAGCCCTTATGTGTGCCTGCCTGACTTGGAGGAAGCCATCAATACATGCTGGTTATAATCAGGTGATTGTTGGTGAATGTACATGATCAGCAGTTATTTGTGAATGAATGAAAAATAGAGTATGCTTTTCTCTTTGAAAACCATCCTTGTGGTGAGATATTTGAGCGTACATGTTGAGGGTAACAAATTAGCACATAGTTCCTTGGTACTAGTGACATTTAGGGGAATATCAATTCTTGCTGTAGGGCCATCCTTTCAACAACAAGGCGTTAGCAGCATCCATGGCTGCCACTCTACAGATGCCTGTTCCTTCAGATGGGACAGATATGCTCAGACATTGCTGAATGTCCCCTGGGGGTGGGTGTCCCCCACCAAGAGCCAGAGATACAACTAAGTGGGCCGGGATAAGGAAAGTGCAAGTCTTTCTCCTTCCAGACATCTCTCTCCTTCGCAGCTTGTTCTGTGTACTAGATTACAGTGACAGGGTACCTCCTTTTAGGGTGCATTTGAGCCACCCCAGGAGGCTTTGACTGGAGTGCTTAGCCTCTAGAATATTCTCATTTGCTCCTGCCATTACTAAGTTAGCCTAGAATTCTTTCCAAAAAATTGAGTTTCATTTTTCCTTTTATAGTAGAAGTATATATTTTAAAAGAAACCAGTATGTGATTGAATGGCCTCCCTGGGTTTGTTAAACAGCAGTAAGGATGCCTGTTGAGATATTTAAAAATTTTGTGCCACTATTTTGATGTCTCATTTCCATTTAAATATACCAATGTTAAGAAAACAAAGGTGTTCAAATGATTGCTTCAGCACAGAGTGCATTTACGTATGGCCGACAAAGATAATGCAGTAGCTAATTGCAGAATGGTCATCCTACAGTTACTATAAAAGCAAAACACCAGCACCACTACATATTAGTAGTGAAAAGCATACATCTCATTCTATTTTTTCAGCTGCAGTGTTCTTCAGATCTTGAGTGTTTAACACCTGAGTTGGAGTTTCTGATTTGCAATTTCGTTGTATTCAGTTGGAGCCTCTTCCTCAAGAAATGATGAATGATTGAATCGACTGACCCCCTAAACCGTTTAGATTTTTTTCCACAGTCTGCAACAGCGCACAGGCCCATGTCAGCCCTTATCTGCATTGTCAGATAGAACAAAATAATGTTAGCATTATCAGAACTCTGGATTTACTGACGAACGGAGCCAAGTTCTGCAAGCTGACCCAGTGGCGGTTTGGATTTGGCTTCCTGATAATGTCAGCCATGCTGATAAGAATCGAAAGGGACTTGCAGCACCTTGTTAACCCAGTAGAATATTAATGCTCCAGAGTGACAGGTCTATTTCAGTAAGTGGCTCTGAGAAGCTGTATTGGCGATGTGGTGTTTTTTTCAGGTTCCAGACTTGCTTATGAGAGCTCGGTGTTATTCCTGAAGTGCGGGGAAATTGCCACAGTATCTGGGGAGAAGAACAGACTTCAGAAACCTCACATCTCCCGTGGTTCTTGGGAACAGAGTGGTTCTTGGGAACAGAGTAGATTGATCAAAAGGAAGGTGAGGAGTGAACGCTCAGCAGTCGCCCTCTCCCTCCTGTGCTGGCTCTCCCCTTCGACAAGCTCTCCTGACATGGGAGAATCATATGATTTGTGTCAATGGAAGTTACTTTCTGTTTATAAGGAAAACAGGAATTTTCTGGGAAGCAAGAATCTGTTCTCCTTGGAATCCCTTCCTGTTATCTGCCAGAAAAATATCTACAAGACAAATTTGACACTGAAAGGATCAGGGGAGAAGCAGTTTTTGTGGAAGATGACCTTAGAAGAGCCTGATGGGGAGGGAGGTGAGCTTGGCAAGGGACCAAAGCTGGAATGTGTGTTTCCCTGGGGGCAGGTGGGTTGCAGCCCAGCCACCAGAGGTGTAAGACATCTCAGAGCCAGGTGAAAGCCCAGGCACTCTGGGACTTCCCCTCCTACTGAGGTGTCCGGGGTGCCAGGCCCCTACCATGTCTCAGAGGTGTCTTGCCATCCCTGCTGTGCTGGAGAGTTGGCCCCTTTCCTGTGACCATGTGGGGCCAGTTATCCTATCACCAGGGCCCAAGTTACAGGGCAGGGCAGACACAGTGGGGCTACCGCACCGGCAAGGATTGGTCTCTTTGGGGGAGGGGGGCACTGAGCTGGGCTTTGTAGAATGGATAACATGGGAATGGTAAGAAGAGAAAAAGAGAGGAAGGGACACATTTCCAGCTTCCGCTCTAGCTCCTCACACAGGGCCTGCATGCCTTCCGAGGCAGAGCCGTTTAGACTGACGGATGGAAGGTCCATTTTTCCCTTTAGCACTTGCTTACAGTGGCTTCTGTGTCCAGGAACAAAAATCCTGACCCGAGAATGATTTGGAGGCAGGCATCTGTTTCTTTCATCTCGTTTAAGGTCATGAGATGGGTAGACATGACCCAGAATTGCCCTTGGTTCCACCAGGACATCGCAGACCTTGATTCTTTCCTTCTGTCTATCATCTCTTAGCTTGTTGGCTTGTCACCTTTGTGTGCGCGTAGTCTCTGTCTGTGTGTCTGTGTATCTGTGTGTGTGCGGTATGTGTGTACACATGAATGTGTGGGTATGCACCTACATTTGTGTGTGTGTCCCTGTGCTTTCACATGTGAACCATAGGTTGATGTTGGGGCCCCTCCTCTCTTGTTCTCCACAGAGTTCTGGGTATAGACCTTTTCATTGCCATTCCCTAAACAATACAGTACAGCAGTGATTTACATAGCATTGATATTTTGTTAGATTATAGGTAATCTTGATGTTTCAATGAATCAATACATATATAGTGAAGTGCATAGGTTCTACGCAAACATGTCCTCTTTATGCAGGACCTGAGGTATCTAAGGGATCTTGTACCCACCCAAGGGATAACTGTATTAATCACTTACCACTTACTCGCTATGTTCCCTCAATATCACCCTTAGTGGCAGTTTCTTGAGAAGGGACTCACTAACTCATGGTGGTGACTTAGACTCCAGACCCAGGCTGTGGTCAGAATGGCCCTGTTCTTTATTTATGGCATTTGTTTTCTGAGCTCACACTGAGGAGGGAGGAGGACACAGGAAGAGTGCTAATCTTCAGAGAGCTGTTCGTTTTGCTTTTCATTAGTATTTGAAAAATGTCTCTTTCATGCGGCGTTCATTAAGGTTTTAATTTTGCAGTTTGTTCCTTTTTAAAGTGACATGCAATTAATTAAGGTTTAATGTGTCATCTATTTTTTGCAATGGCATTTTTACTGTCCCCCTTTTCATTTTCGTTAGTTTATAAATTGTGCTCCAGCTAATGAGTTTCTCTTGATTTCTAGTTTCAAATAATTGCCACTTTTCTAAGATGGTTGTTCTTTAATGTGTCATGGGCTAAGGACATTGACAGGTGAGCTCAGGTGAGCTGCTTCGCCTGGCCACAAGACTGCTGTGGGCTGGCAGGGGACAGAGGCGGCTGTACCCTATGCTCTTAGCTCAGCACAAATTGATCAGCCATAGCATGTCAGACACCTGGTGAGATATAAATACAGATGCTGCTGGCCTGGTCCTCTGGGAGCTCCCAGACTAGATAACTGGCCTAGTTCTCCTCACAGCTTTGCTGGTAGAGATGAGGTACAAGACTTGAACTCCTGGGTGATTTTAAGTGTACATGGGGCTGAAATTGGATCAAGATGAATTGAATAGCAGTTCTTACTTTGATACAATCAAGTTGACATTAATACAGATCTCATCTAGCTGAGTTGGAGTTACTTAGCAGTGTTTTGGAGGTGGTGGGTGGCATAGAGAGCCTTTCGGGAAGTGACTGGTATAAGGAAGAAGGGGATGCACCAGGAAAGGGTTTCTAAAAGAAACAGAACCTCAGGCTGGCAAGATGATCAGTGGGTAGAAGGTGCTTGCCGCCAAGCTTGATGACCTGGAACTCACTTCATTCTCTGGAACTCACATGGTGGAAGACAGAGAAATCTAGAACTGACTCCTGTAAGTTGTCTTCTGACCTCCACGTGTGCACCATGGTATGCACACATGGGCACACACATACATGCACAGAAATAAGTAAATACATAAATATCTTAAAAGAGATGCATAGGGCACATATATGAAGAGATTGATTTTAAGGAGTGGCTCATACAATTGTGGGGGTTTATAAGTCTGAAATTTGTAAGCAGGCCCACAGGCAGGAGCTACTGCTGTAGTTTTGAGGCAGAATTTTTTTCTTCTCCAGGAAACTGAAAGTTTGGCTCTTCAACTGATTGAATGATGCCTAACACATTCTGGCAGCTAATCCTGTTCACCTAAAGTCAAATCCCTTCAGGCTAGTAGTACCTAGCTTAGTGTTTGCTCAAACTACTGAGTACCCTAGCCTAGCTAAACTGACACAACATTAACCAGCACAATGGTCCTTCTTGGGACAGGTAGACAGTGAACACTCAGGAGACTCAAGTCTGAGATGCTCACCTTTCCATTAGTGGGACCTCAGGCAGCTGCCACATCCATTATGTCAGGAGCCTTTGTCAAAAGCGTCTTACCTGCCAGGGTGAGTTGTGTTAAGGAAGCAGCATTAGGTGAGGTGTGGCCTTTGGCCTGGAGTGCCAACTGGCTGGTAAGGCAGCTGTCTACCCCACATGAGAAGCAGAGCATCACCATGTCCATAGAGCAAGACCCATAACAGCTGTCTACAGAAATGGGATGACTCCAGCCTTCACACGTGACTGTCAGAGCACCTCACATTGCTACAGCATTCTTTGTTGTCATTCAGGTGATTGTGAGACCTGTTTTAAAAACACTTTAAAGACTGTTAGAGAGATGGTTCAGAAGTTAAGAGCACTAGCTGCTCTTGCAGAAAATTCAGGTTCTGTTCCCAGCACCTGCATGGCTACTAACATGTCTGTAACTCCCGCTCCGGGGATCTGATGCCCTCTTCTGGCCTCTGTGGGTATTGCACAACATGGGTGAACTTACATACACGAAGGTAAAACATTTTTAAAAGAAAATAAATAAAAGAAAATAAAAATAAAATATTTTAAAAATTGCATTTAGTTAGCTCTGTGTGTGTGTGTGTGTGTGTGTGTGTGTGTGTGTGTGTGTATGTGTGTTCACAATGTATGCTACAACATACATTGAGGAGTCAGAGCACAACCTGCAGGAGTCATGCCCAATCTGGTCCACTACATGGGTCCCAGGGATTGAACACAGATCATCAGTCCTGGTCATGGGCACTTTCACCCACTGAAACATCTTGCCATCTTTCAAAACTCTTTTAAAAAAAAAAAAAAAAAAAAAAAAAAAAAAAAAAAACTATTGTTATTGCTGAGTTGGGTAAGAGTTTTGTTTGGTTTTGATTTTTTTTTTTCTGACACCAGATATTTCTGTGTAGCCTCAACTGGCCTAGAACTCACTATTTAGCCCAAGCTGGCCTCAAACTTGTGATCCTCTTACCTTTGGCTCCGAGTGCTGGGATTACAGGCACGAGGCACCATGCTTGGGTCTGGGCAGGTTTTCACTTAGGAAAGATGAGTCAAATAAACATCTGCAAGGTGGGCTATACTGCACTGGCAGCAGAGTTAGTGGTGATCTCATTGGGCCAGGGTTAGTATGTTTCCCAAGTTCTGCCTTTATTCTTTGTCTAGGGGAGAACATTCTTGCCGGCCCACTGCTGCCTGTGTGCTTTTTGTTTTACAGGGGCAGATGTCCAGGCCAGGGATCCCCGCCGCGGGATGTCGCCCCAGGAGTGGGCTGCTTACACAGGCCGGGTGGAGGCAGTTCGCGTTATGCAGAGGCTGCTGGACCGACCCTGCCCGGAGCAGTTTGGGGACAAGTACAAGCCGGAGTTGCCGCTGCCTGCCGAGGCTGCCCTGAAGCCCACAGGCTCCAAAAACTGCTTCCAGAGGTTCACCCGGTTCCTGCGGTCCACGCTAAGCTCGCGCTCGGGCCAGAGCCTGGAGGACGGAGGTGTCCTTGACCACATGGTCAGGATGACCACGAGCCTCTACAGCCCCGCGATTGCTGTGGTCTGCCAGACCCTATGCCCCGAGAACCCGCCCTGCGTGGGGAAAAGGCGCCTGGCGGTGCAGGAAATCCTGGCAACTAGGGAGGACCGGGGAGTGCATGCCCAGGAGAGCTTCCAGGAGGAGGGCTCCGAGTCGCCGTTCCGGACTGCGGAGGCCCGGAGTACCAACCTCGCGTCTCCTCACCCACCCGGGGCCCCGGGGTCCACCCCTGCCCGGCGGAAGGCCAGTCTCCTGCCCCTGCAGCTGCTGCGAAGGAGCAGCGTGCGGCCCGGCGTGGTGGTGCCCAGAGTGCGCATCAGCAAGGCCCCGGCGCCCACGTTCCAGCCCGAGCGCGCGGCGCCCAAGGGCAGCACCAAGGACAGCACCCACCTGCAGATCCCCAAGTGGCGGTACAAGGAAGCCAAGGAGGAGAAGAGGAAGGCGGAGGAGGCGGAGAAGAAGCGGCAGGCGGAGACTCAGAAGGACAGGCGGGCATCACGGTGGAGGAAAAGGACGTGAAGGGGCCGCAATGCAGACAGCTTGTGCGCCTGGCCTGGGGCAGGCAGCGCGGGGACCAGCCTGGGAGGTAGTGAGTGGGGCAGACAGCGGGCGGAGAGGGTTGCCTCCTGTCTCCTGTCCCGGTGTGCTGCCTGGATCCAGGGAGGGCAGCCCATGTTGCTCCCAAGAGAGCAGTACAGATGGATTTACTTAAAACCAGATCCCTGAGTAATCCGTACACCCAGAGAGAGAGCCATTTACCTGCAGGTCTCCCCTTAGAGAACCTCAATTAAGAATTTTTAGAACCAGTTTATCAAAGGGCATTTTCACATAATTTTGTATTTTGTTATTTATGAAATCTGCAGCATTTTACAATTGTAATTTAAGACAGTTTTAATATATGTGTTTGAAGACCCTTTGTTTAAAATGCTGTCTCTAGCAATAAATATTTGCAATAGCTGTGTGAATTCACACAGACTCCTCGGAATTCTTCCTTCCCTTCTTGCCGGCTGGTTTTGGCCCTTGCCTTCCCATGGCCTGAACACCAGCTTTTCTAATAACTTGATTAGGTAACCAGAAATCTGCTTCTACTTGATGAAAGCATTGAATTATTTTCCAAACGATCAAATGAGACAGCAATCCTGCTTCATTGTATTTCATTTTTAAAATCGCTCTATCCCTGCAATAATAATAATAATAATAATAATAATAATAATCAGAACATGTCAACTTATTATGAAACACTGCAAAAAATGAACATTTGTTGCTAGAACTGAACTCATTTTAAGCAAGGGGCTTTAGATAAAACTGGATAAACCATCTTCCAGGAGATGTGAGGAAAATATTTAACGGGGTAGATTTAATAAATGATTAGTAGAGATACAAAATGAAATCATATGTGTTCAGGAAAATCAGCAGAGTAGTTTTAGGCAGGTTTTTGTAGACAGAGATGCACTCTGAGGGTGGCCCCATCCTCCAGATTCAAGACTGGAGAGTCTCTTGTGTGGATTTTACTTTAGGGTTCCCTTTAATGATTATCCTGGATGTTTGCTCATCCTCACTCCAGCCTTGTAGAACTTCCAAGGTGTGTGGACTTTGGCAGGACACGGATGTAAATTGCCCTGGCCCCAACCTCTCAGTGGGATTTTTCTATCTATACTTTTATCTCCAAAGCACTGAGAAATCCTACTGGGTCTTAGAGAATCTATCACATATGCACTTTATTTAAATATTTAATGTAAATACTTGGAAGCCATAGATTCTAGATATTACAGACTGATTTGAAGTTCTTTGCTGTAGCCCTGGACACATTGTGCAATGCGCTGGTTGTCTCATGCTGGAGGAGAGGGTCTTCCCCTTATTCCTTCCTCTTTGACACCACTGGTCACTGAGTAATCAGAGTTCTCATATCAGCTGTTCCAAAAATGCTATGAACTGGGACCTCAGGCTGCTCCGAGACAGATGGGGACACTGGTGTGATCACCATAGAGTGTTTAAAATCATATTTTAGTTAGTTTCTCTCTAACCCCCGAAGGGCAACAAAACAAATGCTGAGAGTTTGGACCCACCCTGAGAACTACTGGTGTCAGTTAGCAAGGGTCACCCTTGTGACCTAGGACTTGGGATTGGTTACATCCCTTTGGAGGCTGTGAGGGCTGTGACCAACCTTGCTTACTTTGAGGGATAGTCTTCCCTGTGTCCTCTAGTATTGGAGATCTTTCTGCCACCTGTACACAAATCCTCAGCACCCACAAATCCTACCCTTATATTTCAGCTGGTGACCCCACCAGGCAGTGCCACATGGCTTATAGTCCATGTTCCTTGTGCTGGTTGCCCCCAGATGGCATATAAATTATTTTGGCCTGTACCCTACTGCAGGGGGAGAACTGCACTCTAGTGTTTATGCGAAGCTCCAAAGTGACCACCACAGTCAGTGCTGGGAACTGTAGCTTCTTGATGGGGCTGTGTGAGGTCCTTGCTGCCCTTTAGGGGGCTCCTCCTGGATGCCCCGTCTGAGCTCCCACAGAAGGCACCACCTCTGTAGAATGTCTAATTATGACTGAGCAGCCGATATTAGGCAGCTTCTGGTATCTGCCATTAGTGTCTGCCAAATCTCCTGCTACACTGTGTTAAGATCACGTTGGGAAGGTAGGTATGAGCCCTGCACCCCTGCCAAGCTTTGGGTCCCTGCTGCTGACCAATTAGAGATGTACATTTTTGGTCCCTCCCAGCCATCTACCTCACCAACAGTCCATTTTCAAAGTTCCCAGTTAAACGTGGACTGTCCATGGTGTTACAGCAAGAGGCTGGAGGTTTCATTTGTTTCCACGATGTTTTGAATCAGCCAAATGGAAACCTTTCCATGTGATTTCAGCCTTGTCCAGGTGTCAGGACAGTGGTACTCATGCCATAGCTCACAAGGTGCATGCATTATTTTAGAAAGGCTGCCAAGTCAGCAAGCCCAGGCCAGTTGAATGATTTCTTTGGCAGACTTGGATGTGAGCTAGTTTCTTGCCCTGTTCAGTAGAGCTGCTCTTACCTAGATGGTCTTGTGCAATGACAAATGGCAGATATGTGGAAGAATTCTGATGAGCAGTCTGGGGAAGCTCCATTCCCTGGTGGGCTTTAGTCTGTGCTGTTCAGAGAAAAATTGAGCTATGAAACCCAAATTAAGTCAGTCCAGGTTGGGATGCACAGTCTTCCAAGTCTCTCTCTAGAAGTGAGTCCTGTCCTACCCTGCATGGGAAGACCTTCTATTCAGGAGAGCATATTTTCTATTAGGGATTTTTTCCAAGTCTAGGAAAATGTTGTCAAGTCTCTTTTCTCATTGTGGGGTGGGGGGACTTTTGTTCTTGTGTTCCCTGTATCTTTGGAGTGGGCTAGGAAGGCAAGCAGATGCTCTGGCAACATGCAGTAGGGAGGTCACAGAATGAGCTGGTACTTCTAGATGCTTCTTGACAGGGTAGCCGTCAGTATTTCCTCTCTCAGACAGAAGGCTCTGGGGAAGTATGAGGACAGACAGCTGTGAGTGGAGCCTTCCTACCCATGTTGATCTGGATTTTTGGGGTCACTTGGGAGTTAAGGTGGGTGAAGGGAAGTAGAGGGACAGATAGGCACGTGTGTCCACCCCTCACTGAGAGCAAAGGGGCAAGTTATCTTGAGGCTCGTGGTACGCTTGTGGGGGTGACCCACAGAGCCTGTCCATTCTCAAACCGTGTTGTTAGTTTTGTCTCCTTTTTAGGCGAGTGGTTCACTAGAGAAGTTTTCAGTTCCAGAGGTCAAGAGAATCACTCCTTTTTAGTGTCCCCAACAATGCAGTGGTGTTGCTTGAATGGTTTACGTTTGTGCTTTGCTGTTTGAACAGCTGTGTCTACTCTCAGAGTGGTCATCCTCCCTACACCCTCATGTTATTCATGGAGGAGGGGGCTGCTGGGTGGCCCCTGTCTCTCGTGTGGTCATAAGTATCCCTATGACTTTGTCATCAGTGCTATTCTCTGCCACCCTCTTCACCTCACCTCTTCTTCCTCTTACCTTTGCTCCTCCGCCTGCTTCCTGTCCCCAGTTTGATTAAACCCCTTGCTCATCCTAGCACCGGTGCCCTGAGGTCTAAATGGGCAGAAACATAAGGGCTCTTGAGCACCCCTTGGTGGCCCTGCTGCATTACCAGCCTGGGACCTCCAAATCCCCAGGAATGGGAGGACAGGGCTGGAGGTTTCGGACATCAGCACAGCCCCTACCTGTCCCTTGTTTTGGGGAGGAAGGCCTGGTCTTCTCTCCTGACTTGGGATAGTAGAGGAGCAGGCTCAGAGCTCTGTATGCCCCAGTGTTATTAACTGTAAATAAATAGTGAATTTCATTGACAGGTACCTTCTCAGGGATTTATACATAAATATAGTTAGGGGATAAGCTAAAGTATATTTTAAATCCTTTTGATGTTTGAGTTCTTTGTGATTAAACTAGACCAAAAAAAAAAAAATATTTCCAAGATAGTGTTGATGCTGCTGCTTGTACGGGAGATGCCTGGGTCTCGTCCCTCAGTGGAGATCTCCAGGGATGTGGCAGTGTAAGGGCTGTGTGGATGTGATGTCACAGTCACACCTGTGTCTCTCGGTTGTCTCTTCTGGGTGTGACCATTGTTTAACAGTTGCCTCTAGCTGATTCCCAGATGGGCCATGTGTAAGTTTTCCCCAGAGCTGTCCACTCTAGGTCTGATATTGGCGAGTGAGACGGGCCTGGTCTTTTCTCCTAATTTGTGTGAATATAGTGTCCACAGTCTGTCTGCAGGAGCCAACCAAGCCCGCTGGGAAGGATCAGGGAAAGTTCAGCACACTTGGTCCACAGTGGCCTGGCTGTGCAGAAGCTGTGTGCTTGCTGCTCTAGAAGAAAGCACATGGCTGGATGGACTGTGTTCCTTCTTCAGCTCCCACAGGCTCCTGGCCACACTACATACCTCAGAATAAAGTCAGAACTGCAAGGACTTTGCCATCTCAGCTTTGGATCCCTCTGATTCAGGAGGCTCATTCTGCATGTCAGAAAAAGAGGAGGTTCATGATGCTGGCTAGAAAATGGGTTTATGGACACAGAAGGGCTGTATCAAGTGGCCTCTCCCCATTCCTCCCCAGCTGGCCGCTGGGGCCAGGTCTCTGGAGTAGAGAGAAGGCTGTTGTGGGTGAGATAGAGGCCTGTGGGGAGGGACAGATCCCAGATTCAAAATGATGCAAAGCCTGCTGCCCCCGGGAGTTGGGCTCCATCAACAGTTGCCCACGGTGCTCAGAGTGATGATATTTACTGTAAACTCCCTGCTCTTACATCATAAGAAGCTTTTTCTATAGTGTTTGGGAAAGTTTAGCAAGTTCCTTAGGACCTTGTTCTCTAGTATGGATTCTGGTCTGTGCTGCCCAGCCCTCAGTTTCTTCCTCACAAGGCATACATTAGCCCCCTTTAAGCTGGGCAACTCCATGGACAGCCACAGCTTCTAGGGAAGGAAGGAGGGAACACTGATCATGGTGATCATGGTAGATTCTTATACAACAACAAAGTCATGGTTATAATGAAAGGACAGCTGGAGCCTTTGGAGAAAGGGTGGAGCTAACCACAAAGCTTTTCACATTTGTGTACTGCAGTGCATCAAGAACTTGGCTGGAGAGCTGACTCAGTGGTTAAGAACACTGACTGCTCTTGCAGAGGACCCAGGTTCAGTTTCCAGCAGCCATACAGTGGCTCACAACCGCCTGTAACTCCAGTTCCAGGGGATCCAATGCCCTGTTCTGACCTCCTCAGGCATTGTATTTCTGTGGCGTAGTTACATACATGTAGGCCAGTCATACACACAAAATAAAAATAAATCTTTAAAAACAAAGGAACTTGTTTTATGCATCTGTGTAACTCTTGACTGAGTCACCTTTTTGTCCTTGAATTCACATGTTTCTTTATTAACATTTTTTTTTTTTGGTCTTTTTGAGACAGGGTCTCCCTGTAGCCCCAGCTGGCCTGGAACTCGCTATGTAGACCAGGCTGGCCTCAAACTCACAAAGATTCGCCTGCTTCTGCCTTTGGACTGCTGGCATTAAAAGTGTATACCACCACACCCGGCTCATTAACATTTTAAATAAGTATTAGACTGAAACATTCCTCTGAAGTCTTCATTTATTTAACTTTTAAAGGAGAGTGCAGGTGAGAAACACTGCCTGCATTGGTTTGACTGATTTTTCAAGTAACTCTGCTGGATGCTTGTACTACATTCACAATTTCCAAGCTCTGACCCAGCCAAAATACGATTTTATGGAAGGTGCAGGTCATGCTAATGGGGACAGTGTGTGACACTCACGCACACACACAAACTGAAAGGCCAGACTTTGTACTCATAAAGATACTGTTGCCATGGCTCACGGTGGCCCCCAGAGAATGTCTCTGTGGCTGTTTGGATGCTGCATATTCAGACTGATTTCAAGGCCTAAGGATCCCCTGGGAGCCCCCATTCAATGTGACACTTGACATGACTGGGTTTTCCACAACCCAGGCCTGTCTACTAAAAGATGCTGAGCTAGAACTCTGCCTCCATCTGGGTCATTGCTTTGAGCATCAGCTGCTGGGGGCCCAGACCCAAGAGAACCCCCTGGAAAGATCCACCTGGCCTCAGTGCACAGCCTTGTGTGGGGCCTGGATTCAGTGAGATTGGGCACAGGTTGACTGTAGGGGAAGCTCTGATTAGGTCTTCTGACTGGCACTAACATCATGTGGGCTTTGAGAGAATTCATTTGGCCATGCTATGATGTCCTTCTGCTGTTTTGAAAGAAAATGTAGGTGGGGGAAAATGAAGCTGGCCATCCCAGACAGAGTGGGCTGTGTTGACCTGACCCTTTATGGACTTTGGGGATGTAGTAATCAGGCGCCGTAACACAGCTCAAAGCTCTAGAGGTTGGTGCAGAATGGTGAAACTATCAATATTCTCCATGGACTCCATGAGTGATCACTACTTGTCCAGAATTGGTACCAGCCCTCCCCAGAGCCTGGGGCCACCCTAAGGAATTAGAACCCAGTGCCTCATTCAAATGAACTAAGGCTACCACTGCTGGAATGTCTTGGTTCAAAAGATAGTTCTGAAAAGCAAACAACAAAAAGATAATTGTACTTGGCATTTACTGGGTACACGAGAATCTATGTTTTCAGCAATAGTGACCTTCGGATGAGTGAAGAATAGAACAGATTTTGGCATGGGGCCAGGCTTCAAGTTCTGTCCTGATATAAGCTCTGTTTTCTGAATGTGAAGGGTTTCCTTTGTTATTTCTAAACTCCAGTAGCTTTTGAATGTTGTAAAGCTGTTAAATGTGGATATACCTATAACTTTCAGAGTGTTTTATTCTGATGTGAGAGTTTTGTTACAGTTTATACAAGATATTTTCCTATTTAGACCTCAGGGCTATCTTGGGACCCACTAATAAGTGTGACCCCCCCACCCCCAGCAGCTTCAATTCTTGATGGTCAAAGCTTTCATAAGCTTTATGTTAAATGTGATATTATTCAGCAGGAAGAGTGTCTTTCTGTTTTTTAACTTCCGACAAATTATGTCTAATGTTTTAAAAGTCTAGGAAAAAAGAGATGGAGTCGTGTAAAAAAATACAAGGAAACAATGGTAGAAGAATTAAAAATCACTGGCAAAATAAACATTCTCATGGTATAAAATTGTGATATTTGAAGAAACGTAAGTGTATAAATTATTAAAAAACTATGAAACAAATCAGTATTTCTCATGGCGCTTGTTTTGACCGAAATAGTTGTGTGCTTTTTATTTCCACGTATTTCCACTTAATTTTTCCAAGTAAGGGAATTTAATTGTGAGTTACTCATGAATATTTTTCCATAGATCACAGTGACTTCCTTGTCCCATTACAACCTGTGGGATCCCTCAGGTGTACACACACACACACACACACACACACACACACACACACACACACATGTTTTCATGTTTTGCTTTACCTAAGTGGCACACTGTATGTGCTGCCCTACAGTTTTTATTTTTTATTGTTTGAGAATTTCATACATCCGCATAATGTTTCGATCAGGTGTAGCCCTCACTCCCTCCCCTCCAATTCCTCCTGTATCCGCCCTGCCACTTGTCCCTCCTAACTTCATGGGCTCTGTTTTTAAACCTGCCGAGTCCACTTAATGCTGCCTGTATGTACATGGGTGTAGGGCCATCTACTGGAAAAAGGGGAGCCTCTTAAAATATGTCCTTAGGGATATTTGAAGATAATTTGGAAATCTATAGTTTATATTTATTTATTTGTGTGTAGGGGAGGACACAGTCATGCCAATGTGAATGTGGAGGTCAGAGGACAATGTGCAGAAATCGGTTCTCTCCTTCCACCATGGGATTAAGTTCCAGTCATCAGGCTTGGCGGTGTGTGCCTCTCCCGCTGAGCCGTTGTGTTAGTCAGGGTTGTCTAGAACAGAGCTTACAGAATTAATATATACATACACAGTATGTTTGAAGTAGTCTAGCAACAGCTGTCTCACACCTGAGAGACTGTGAACCTGGTGGCTCCTCAGTCCAAAACGCTGGGTGCTTCAGTAGTTCCCATCTGGTGCCAAAGACCTGGAGGGCTCCTGGAGAGCCGCTGGTCCTCAGTCCATGTTGAAAGCCTGGAAAACCTGGTTTTCATATCAGCAAAGGAATTAGCAGCAGCAGCAACTCTGTAAATTAACTTAGAGGCCAGGAGAGCAGAAGGGGAAGACTCTGCCTTCTGCCAGGCTTCCCCTTTGCATCTGGGCTGCCACCAGAAGGCGCCGCCCATATTTAGGGTGAGTCTTCCCACATCATTTAAGGCAATCAAGACAGTTCTTCAACTGAGGCTCCATGCTCAGGTGATTCTAAATTGTGGCAAGTTGACATTTAAAACCAACCTACATGCCCTTAATCCCAACACTCAGGAGGCAGGCTTGCCTGGTCTACAGCCACCTCAAGTCCAAAAATTAATAGCACAGCCTGGTCTGAAACTTGTGATCCTCCTCCCTCTGCCTCTTCAGCATATCTGACCTGTGTGCACTACCACAACAGGCTTAAAATAACTTTAAAAAATAATAAACATGAGGGGGAAGAAAGGGCCTTCAGTTGAAAAGTGACTTCCCTTCCCTGTGAGCTGCCCCTCCAAACAGGCCTTTGCTTATGCTCTTTCTAGATCTGTATCTTTAACACTTTCTTCCCGTCATTGTTGTGCAGACAAGCTCTCTCCCATTTTCCATGCAGTTTGGGGTCCTCCCTTCGTTCTTTTTGCTGCAAAGTGTGATGCAAAAGCACAACTCTTGCCTCAAAGGGGATAAGAAATAGTTAATTCTGGAGCCAAATATGAGTGACATTGGACTGGGAACACAGATTAGGGTTACCCCAAATTCCATGTTGCAATGTGGTTACAGTTTCATGAAACTTTCGTAGTAACAGAACAAAGGAAAGCCATAAATCAAGACACTTTTCAAGTACATTGGTGGAGACAAGTAGGTGGATACAGCGAAAGAGAAATCTTAGCTACAGGCCTCAGAGGCCATCTGATGACACTCAGTCTTTTGGTTGGTAGAAGTTGGTGGTCTGCTACATTAATACATTTCAAAAGATTTTTGTTAATCACAGGATATTAACTCAGAAACAGAAGTGGGTAAGGCGTGGCTAGGTAGGAAGCTAAAAATAGCCCAAGATAAATTGCAGTTAGACTTTGGACCTGCAACATTACACTCTCCACAATCACTGAAGTTCTAATCAGTTATCAGCCTTTGCAGGCAGGTCAGTTTTACGATACAGTTTATCTGGGAACTTTGGTTCTCAGTAGTATTCCTCAGTAGAGGCGAACCATGATTCACTCAACCATTTCCTCATTGATGGACTGTTACAACGCTCTCGGGTTTTTTGAGACAGGGTCTTCCTGTAGCCCCAGCCGTGTGGAACTCACTATGTAGATCAGGCTGGCCTTGAACTCACAGAGATCCGCCTGCCTCTGCCTCCTAAGTGCTGGGATTAAAGGCATGCACCACCACACCCGGCTTTTATCATTTACAAGTAACATGACTCCTTATACCTATTTGTATATAAAAATGAATTTTATTAGAATACAGGAGTGTAGAAACAAGATTTACCTACTTGAAGTAAATAGGCATTTTACTTTAAGACGTCTTTTAAAAAACTATATTAATTACATCTTGTTGCTGTGATAAAATACACTGACCAAAAGCAACTAACAGAAGAAAGAGTTTATTTTGGCTCACAGTTCCAATGGGAAATCACAGCGATGGGGGAGGCATAGATAGCCACAGGCGGCCAGAGTGGGAAGCTGGCAGATCACATCTCCATCCACACATAGGAAGCAGAGAGGACCGGAAGTGGGGCAAGGCTAGAGGCCCCCAAAACCTGTCCCCAGTGACGCATTCTCCAAGGTTCCTGTCCTGAAAGTTTCATAACCTCCCAAACAGCACACCAACTGGGGCATCAAGTGTTCTAATCCGTCAGCCCTATGGGGAACATTTCTCATTTAAGCCACACTTATAAGCAATAGCTTGCTTTCTCTTCCGCTAAAAAAACTTCTTTGTCTCATACGTGTATATAATGAATTTGTCATTTTCATCACCCGTTCTCCTCTCTCATTCCCCTCGTCCAGCCCAGCAGGGCCTGTGACCCTTTCCAGGAGTTTGGCTTGACACTCAGCCACCAGCAGGG